AAAATTAAAAGATATAGGGCACCTGCCTGGCTCAGTGGTAGAGTATGCAACTTTTGATCTCAGGGCCTTGAGTACAAGCTCCACATTGGGCATAGAGATTACTTTAAAAAAAAAAGGAAAGGAAAAAAGAAAATTAAAAACATAACCATTGAAATAAAAAAAAATCCAAAAAAGATCAGGCGAACATTGACGATACCTTCCAGAACTTCAAACAAAAAGACTAAGAGAAGGAAAATACGGGGGAAAGGCAGGAAACTTACCAAATATCAAACAGAAATTCCATTTCAGCTAGAGTTCCATAGACTATAAGAATGAAGAAGAAAAAAATTACAAATTCTAAGGAAAATTATCTGATCTGAAGAGCATGAATCTCCAGCCCAATGAATGAAAAAAGGCCTATAACCAGGACATGAGTATGAACAGAGCACCGAGAACAAAGATCATAAGAACTTCCAAAGAGGAGAAAACTTACTACATCAAAATGAGGGGGAAACAGGGCAGCCTGGGTGGCTCAGCGGTTTAGCACCACCTTCAGCCCAGGACGTGATCCTGGAGTCCTGGAATTGAGTCCCATGTCAGGCTCCCTGCGTGGGGCCTGTTTCTCCCTCTGCCTGGGTCTCTCTCTCTGTGTCTCTAATAAATAAATAAAATCTTTTTAAAAAATGAGGGGGAAACAGACACACACAACCTTAAAAAATAAAGAGAACGGGAAACAATAATTTCAGGCTTCTCAATAACATCACTTAATTCTAGAATGCAGTGGAATATTACCTTCAACATTCTGAAGTGAAATTGTGTTTCACTAAGAATTTTATATCCAACCAGCAATATAGTATGAAGGTAGAATAAAGACATTTTCAGAGATTCAAGGTCTCAAAACTTCACGTCTTATGTACCCTTTCTGGGGAAATTACTATTTTCAAAATAAGAGAGGCAATGGAGAAAGAAGACAAAGAGCCCAGGAAATGGCAGAGCTACGCTAGAGGATGAAAGGAAGTCCTAGAGTGACAACCATGCCTCAAAGCCTAGGGTGCAGCCAGTGCTGATTAGATCAGGGGACAGAGGGCCAGATGGTTACTTTACCTGGGGTGAGCATAGCATAACGTATAGACGGGTCATATCACTCTGCTGTATACCTGATATAACACTGTGTGTCAACTATACTTCAAAATGAAAAAAAAAAAAAAAGGACAGGGTTTTTTTTTTGAGAAAAAAATAGAACTGATAAATCGTTTCATGGTTTTGCATTTGTAGGTTTGAAAAAATATATTGCTAACCGTTTGACATTTGAAAGTCTTTATATTCATAATTATGTAAATATTGACTACCAAATTAATCAAAACATTTTTGCTTTGTGATGTTTTCACCAGAAAGTCTCGCTATGTGACATTTAAAGATTATGGTAGAACTAAAATGGGAAGAGGTGGGGAAAAGGGAAATGAAAGTGGTAAGAGTGAAAGAGCGAAATCCTCAACTACCATAACAGGATGTCAATAGATTATGTTTTTGGATGATAGATAAAAAAATACCTGAATGACAAAGACCTAAATGAGAGACCTGAAATCATAAAAATTCTAGGAGAGAACACAGGCAATAATTTCTCTGACACTGGCCGTACTGACATTTGTCTAGATATGTCTCCTAAGGGGAGGGAAGCAAAAGCAAAAATAAACTAGTGAGACCACATCAAAATAAAATGCTTTTGCACAGCAAAGGAAACCATCTAGAAAACAAAAAGGCCACCTTCTGAATGGGAGAAGATATTTGTGAGTGATATATCTTATACGGGGTTAATGTCTAAAATACATAAAAAACTTCTATATCCCAACACCGAAAAAACAATCCAATAAAGAGGAGACAGACGACCTGAACAGACATTTTTCCAAAGAAGACATACAGATGGCCAACAGACACGTGAAAAGATGCTCAACAGCACTAGTTGTTAGGGAAACGCAAGGAAATGCAAAAACCACAAGAGGGATATTACCTTACACCTGTCAGAATGGCCAAAATTAAAAACACAAGAAACAACAGGTGTTGGTGAGCATGTGGAGAAAAAAGAACCCCCAGGCACTATTGGTGGGAATGTAAATTGGTACTGTCTTGTGGAAAAGAGTATGGAGTTTCCAAAAAAAATTAAACATAGAAATACCATGCAATCCAATAATACCATTCCTTTGGTATTTACCCAAAGGAAATAGAAACACTAATTTGGAAAGATATATGCACCCCTACGTTTACTGTAGACGTATTTACGGTAGCCAAGATATGGAAGCAACCTAAGTGTCCATTGAATAAACGGATAGATGAGGAAAATGTGAGATTTTATATATATATATATATATATATACACACACACACACACACCCTCACACACAATGGAACATTATGTAGCCTTTAAAAGGATGAGATTGTGCCATTTGGGACAACCTGGAATGGCCCTACAGGGTCTTATGTTAAGTGAACTAGGTCATACTGAGAAAGACAAATACCATGTGATTTCATTCATAAATGGAATCTAAAAAGAACAAAGGAATAAACAAAAGCAGAATCAGACCTATAAATACAGAGAACAAACTGGCAGTTACTTGAGGAGAGGGGTGGAGGGGGGTGGGCAAAATGGGGGAATGGAAGTGGGAGACACAAGCTTCCAGTTATAATCTCTGGAATGAACAAGCCACAGAAATAAAAGGCTCCATATAGGGAATATAGTCAATGATATTGTAATAGTTTGTATGGCGACAGATGGTAGCTACACTTGTGGTGAGTGCAGCATAATGTGTAAACTTGTTGGATCACTATGCTATATACCTGAAGCTAACTAACTAACATTGTATGTCAATTATACTCAGAAAAAGAAAAGGAAAAGGGGAAGAAATAGCTGAATGAACAAATTAAACACAAAGAGGTAAATAGATAAAATAGCTAGATGTTGAAAGTGGTGGCCTCTCAAGAGCAGTATAGGTAGGAGATGGAAAAGGGGCTGCACATTGTCCTTATATGTCTTTTAAAATAATTTTTTTAGTACCATGTACATATATGACTTTGATGGAGAATTAAATAAAGAATATTTATATACATTCTTCAGGTAGAATTGGAGTTGGTGCCTCAAAAGGCCTGACACTTTTTAGTGCTATGTACTGTAAAGTTGTCTTCCAGAAGTTGTAATCACTTATACAGACACCAGCCTATATGACAAGTATGCATCTCTTTACGTGTTTGCCAAACCAAGTTATTTTTTAAAAAAATCTTTGCCAGTTGGGTAGGAGAAAAAGTCTGGCCATTACTTGAAGTACATTTTCTTTAAGTGGGTGCTACTTAACAATTGAGGCTAAATGGCATTTTCTCAGTTTGCCTTCTGGTGAGTTCCTGGGTTATTATGTAATGAAATTATTAATGTTCTACATGAGCTTCTATCTTAACATCTGGATCCTAGATCCACAGGGGCTACAAAAATTACCTTTGTTGTAAAAATCTCAGAAAAAATAACATATCCCAAACTGGGTTATTTCTCTGCCCAAACAAGTGCCTCCCCCAACTCCCTATTTCTGTTAATGTCCTTAGTAATTTTAGAGCCTTTTCTTCATATTTATTTATTTTTTTAAAAAAGATTTTATTTATTCATGAAAGACACACAGAGAGAGAAGCAGGCTCCATGCAGAAAGCCCGATGTGAGACCCGATCCTGAGACTCCAGGATGACACCCTGGGCAGAAGGCAGACGCTCAACCGCTGAGCCCCACAGGTGTTCCGCCTTTTCTTCATATTTAATCAGTCATATAATTAATCAACTTTGACTCTACATAGACTCTTATACCTGTTGCCCCCTTTCCATGCCCAATCTTTTTAAAAATGTTTTTTTCTTACATTTTTATTTTAATTCCAGTTAGCTAACATACAGTGTTATATCCGTTTCAGGTGTACAATAGAGTGATTCAATACTTCCATACATCACCCAGGGGGCACCATGGCAAGTACACACCCACTCTTAAATGTTGCTTTTGCTTCCAGGAGAATTTTGATAGCTATTTCCCAATTACCCTTCCAAAGTATTTTAGATAAACTTAGATTTCCACCAATAGTGGAAAGGAACCGTGTCCTCAAACTGTCAACATTTGGCACTAACAAACCCTTTGATTTTTATCAACCCAATAGGTGAAAAATAGATGATACCTGTTATTTTGATTTGTATTATTTATGTATGTGGCTATAACATGATTTCTGCTTACACCTCCATTATTAGCATTAGGTCACATAGATGGGCTCAGTGCCAGGGGGTGAGCAAAGCCAGCATTTTACTTTATAGTTTTTATGATGGAAAGAAGGTGCTGGAATGGATGTGGAAGCTTCAGGGTTTTTTTTTATTTATGGCTTTTGGGTTTTGTGTTGTTCTCTTCATGAAGATTAAAATTTCATTCATGATTTTAAAAAAATTTTTAGTATAAAAGCATTCAAATACACAAAAGTAGGGAGGATGCAATAAAGGACTTTCATGCATCCATCCTACAGTTTAACATTATTAAATTTTACATTTTGTTTCATCTACCCATACCTAATTATTTTTCTGAAGCTTTCCTAAAAAAAAAAAAAAAACCAACTCAGGTATCATGGGATTTTACTCATAATACTTGGTTTCTCTAACAAGTAAAGATTTTTATTAATGTTATTAATGTTTATTAATCAATATTATTGGTTTTTTCTTTTTCTTTTTTTTTTTTAAATTTTTTAAATTTATTTATGATAGTCACACACACACAGAGAGAGAGGGAGAGAGAGGCAGAGACACAGGCAGAGGGAGAAGCAGGCTCCATGCACCGGGAGCCCGACGTGGGATTCGATCCCGGGTCTCCAGGATCGCGCCCTGGGCCAAAGGCAGGCGCCAAACCGCTGCGCCACCCAGGGATCCCTTATTGTTTTTTTCTATTGAGGTGTATCACATCAACTAATTTTCACAAAATGAAAACACATAATTATATCTCATGTCAAGAAAGAGAGCCTTACCAATACTCCAGAAGCCCCTTTTTGTCTTTTCCAGATTACTGCTATAGGTGAAGAAAAGGTTTTCCTCAACCCTCTTAGGGTCTCTGGCTGGGTCTGAAAATTAAACTTCCAAAGACAGATTAACAGGAGAAAAGCAAACACATTTATTTAATATAAGTTTTACAGAAGAACCTTCATCAGGAAATGAGGACCACCCAAAAAACCAGAGCTGTGTATTTTTATGCTAGGTTGGATGGATAGTGGACTGTTATGGAGGATTGATTAAAGTGTACGAGGTAATTACAGCAAACTGGGGGAACTTGGCAAGGCCTGTCTGTTAGGATACTTCTTAGTGTCTCTTTATCCTCCAAGAGAAGGATGAGTCTACCTCTCGCATGACTTTTTTTAATTTTTTTAAAAATTTTTATTTATTTATGATAGTCACACAGAATGAGAGAGAGAGAGAGGCAGAGACATAGGCAGAGGGAGAAGCAGGCTCCATGCACTGGGAGCCCAATGTGGGATCCGATCCCGGGTCTCCAGGATCGCGCCCTGGGCCAAAGGCAGGCGCCAAACCGCTGCGCCACCCAGGGATCCCTCTCGCATGACTTTTATGACCTGTTTCAGAGGAGAAGGGGGAGTGATGAAGTGAAGAGGAGGAGTCAGAATTACCTTCCTGCTCAGTCTTTTCTCAAACTCTTTCAGCTTAAGATATTCAATATGCCAAGATGCCATCTTTTGGGGTAGTGTGTCCTAAACCCTACCACTACCCCGCTGCCATAGTTAACCACCAAATGAAGTAACCATACTTCATTTCACGTTTCCTGCTTTTGAACTTAAATACAGAGAATTACATTATGAACTCTAAGTATGTAAATGGTGTATTGTTTGGTGTCTGGCTTACTTCACTCATCATCATGCTTCTAAGATTCAACCGTGGAGCATATAGCAGCAGTTAGTTCTCAGCACTACAGAGTATTTCACTGAGCTTTAGGATTTTTGAAGAAAGTGCAGGGCTCAAGGACGTAGCCCTGTAAACCATCAGTTTTTATTCTTTTCTCATCCTTTCTCCTACCAAAGACTTGCCAGGACTGTGAAGAATGGATAAAGGTACATAGAACTGGAAGGATCGAGGAAATAATAAGCCTTTTAACAACAGAGATTTTATGTAGGGCACTATGAGCTGACTTGCAAAAATAGTGCCGTTGAGTGGTGAAGAACAAATGCTCTTATAATCAGAGAGAGGTGCCAATTCCTTCTGGGCACCATTCATATGGATGAGTTTGCTTTGTTGCCCTCCAGTTTTGGAATGTCTATTGGTTTGCCCTCCTCTTTGCACTCCTGACACAGGGACAGGAAGGCAGGTAGGGTTGTGTATAGATTCCCTTGTATAGAGGAAGCAGTTGTTCAGTGGCCTTGGAAAAGCCCAAATGCTGATGTGTTACAGCAGGTGGCAGCCTTTCCCCAGGAGAGGGAAAACGGGAATACCCAGGCTTACCTAATGAAGATCGGTTTTGGTTTTTATAGCTTCTGTTTGATTAAAGGTCAGGTGATTTATCTAGAACCTGAAGCTAAGCTTGGCCTCATAACAGAGAAGAGAAGCAGGGACCCTGGAAGCTGGAAAAGGAGTTGTGAGCTCACCTCTGGGTGAGCCAGTGGCTCTGAATTATTCAGTGGCTGCCTTCAGGGAGCCTACTCAAGGTCTGACTCAACACTGGTGATGGGTGAAGGGTGTCAGTCTGAGCCTCAGAAAGCAGGGCAGTGGCGAATTGACCCGACGACACAGAATCCGAGATCAAGAATTACCCTGCTGTGTACTGGGAGGGTGGGCAGTTGTCAGCAGAAATACCTACCCCCTTTTCATTCCAGATCTGTAAAGCAGAAATTCATTCATTCATTTATTTTTTTTTAAAGCAAGCTCTATGCTCAATGTGGGGTTTGATAAATCAGCCTTTTAAACTAAACTGCCAAGTATTTTTTTTTAAAGATTATGAAGTTCTTCTCATGCAAGTTTACCAAATGCTTATGGAAGGGTGCCTGAGTGGCTCAATCAGTTGGGTGTTGGACTCTTGGTTTGGGCATGGGTTGTGGTCTCGGGGTGATGGGACTGGCCTGTCTCGGGCTCCGAGCTTGGCAGGGAGTCTGCTTCTCTCTCTCCCCGCCGCCCACGTGCTCGCTCTAAAATAAATAAATAAATCTTTAAAACAAAAACAAAAACCCCAAAGTGCTTATGGAAAGCCAGACTTGGTGGAGAAGCTTGGCATTGGGAAATGTATCCAGTTTGTTTTTACTTTATTAATGGTGGGACTGTAATTTATCATTTATCAAGAACATAGTACTTAGAAAATGACGTCATTCAAAACTTAATGGGAATGAGGAGACATTCACTAGGGTCCCTACAGATGGATTTGCTTCAGGCAACTGAAGTGATCAGGCAAGAGTAGGAACAGACAGAAATCATGGGACTAGCTGTGACTATTCAATTAAAATTAAGCTAAATTAAAACTAAAAATTCAACCCCCTCAATTTGACTCAGATGTGAAGTGGTTGCACTGGCCACATCTCCGGAGCTCAGTAGCTACATTTGGCTAATGGCTGTCATATTGGACGGCACAGACTATGGACCATTTCTATGATCACAGAAAGTTCTACCAAACAGCACTAAATGGGAGTCAAAAAGCAGGGAGTGGTGCCAAAGGAAAATGTGGGTGGTTAAAAACAAACCCTCCCTGTAATACTAAGTAGCATAATAATGATTCCAAAGTGTGGCAGGAGTTTCTAAACAGAGTATTTCATATAATCCCCATGGCAATCCACAGCCCCAACAATAATGCTACCGACAGTTGTAGAAACCTTACAGCAGGCCAAGCACTAAGAACTCTGGTGTAAGCTCGCTGCTCTTTCCAGAAGCTGGTGAGGCTGGTATGGTCGTCGCTGTTTAAGAGATGAAGAGACTGTGGCAAAGGGCTTCATGACTTCTCCACTGTTGCCTGGCTTTGAAGGAAGAGCTGGGATCCAAACTCAAGTTTTTCAGGGTTGTGATAATTAGAATGAAGGTGTGGAAAGTGCCTAACACACTCCATGTGTGAGCACACTTTGCCTCTAAGCCACGTTCTCCTCAGGCAGGCCCAGCTCTTGGAGTCTGTCACATAATTGTCTTTCTGGCTACAGAAGGCGTCATGCCAGGTCTGATAGAGAAACAATGATCCCCTGTTAGCCAGGATATGAGCCACTTCCTGCCCTCTAGAGCAGAAGCTGCCGTCTGCACAAAGGAAGCTGGTTTCTCGGAAGCTCACCTTTGAAAATTTTGAAGTAAAATATTCTCGTTTAAGACAAAAACGAATCTTAGGACCATAGGATAGGAAAATACTATTTTCTGCAAGTGATGAGATTATGAGAAATCGCCTCTTTTTGGTCAGCTGTATTTTGCAACATTTCTATGTGAATATGTGTGATAAGATTTGAAAAGTCCCAAAGCCAAATACTGGCTTTTAAAAGTTCCAAGTCAGATACCATATCATAAAATTTGTTAATTAACAATATTTTAGGCTATTTTTTTAAAGTACTCTCTACACCCAACGTGGGGCTTGAGCTTACAACCTTAAGAGCAATAGTCCGCTGCTCCACTGACTCAGCCAGCCGAGGCACCCCATTAGGCTCTTGATAATATAGCAAATACTTTTTTTTTTTTAAATTTTATTTATTTATGATAGGCACACAGTGAGAGAGAGAGAGGCAGAGACACAGGCAGAGGGAGAAGCAGGCTCCATGCACCTGGAGCCCGACGTGGAATTCGATCCCAGGTCTCCAGGATTGCGCCCTGGGCCAAAGGCAGGCGCTAAACCGCTGTGCCACCCAGGGATCCCTATAGCAAATACTTTAATACTAAAAGCCGATAGAAATCTTTTAGTTGGATGCTAAATACTTTGATCAATAGCAGGGGAAGTGTGGAACTTAATCATAAGGTTGGAAAGGGCAGGAAACAATGAACAGGTACTCACAGCTGCTCTGCAGATGGGACTCGCTGTTTTGCATCCCGTGGCCCTGTAGATAGCTGCCTTATGTCCTCCAGGTCAAGACGAAGCAATAGTCAGGTCAACAAAACAGGGATAGTCTATAAATCACCCTATCATTTTTATCATTCATTGGCACCAAATGATCTCTAAAAGGGAATACGGTTGGTAAGAAGGAAGAATGAGAAGGGGGAGCTTTCCAAGCTATGGCATCGATGGTCTCCTTCTCAGGTGGGACTCCTTATGTCAAAACATTGTTACTGAGCATGTTGTGGGGGAGGGAAAAAAAAGACTCCGAGGTCCTTAATTGCTAAGGTTCTTTTCTTCTGTAAAGTTCTAAGACTTTGTGGCCTTACTTTAGTAGTGTATCTACACATACTAGTCATATTCTTTCACGTGTGCATACATTTTAAGGTTTCCTTTAATTAAATTTGGCATCCTGCCGAAGGCTATCTTGATATACTTCTAGTTAAGCTCACAGGTGGGTCCACTGTGTAGTGACAGCCAAATGAAATGGTAGGAAAAAAAAGTGTTTCACATAACTAAGTATCCTGATGGAATACATCTTATAGAATTATCCCCTCTAATGGCAAAAAAAAAAAAAGAGTTTTTAAGTACAAATGATAACTCTGAGGCAGGATCAAGTGATAGTGTGGGCACTACAGAACCAGGAATTCACCCTCCTTCCCTCACTTCCCCACCTCGCAGGCTCCCATTGGATTGGAAAGCTGATCCTCCTTAACTGGAGAGTGTCATTTAAGTTAGGTGGCTACAGCTTTAAAGCCAACCCAACCCTGCCCCCCTCCCAAAAGAAACAAAAACCACTCCCCAAGAAACCAAAAGACATGTGAATTTACAGCAACCAACTGTCTAGGAAGGCAGTTGAAAATGAGAAAGAATGAACTGAAAAAGGGGCAGATTCATTCTGCAGGTGGTGCATGCGGTCCCTTCTCCGAAACACAAATACTCCGGCTCGTTTGCTCTCGTTCCCTTCAAGAAGATGGACTTGGCAGGTTTAAGAAAGAAAAGCCCTGGAATCAAACCAGGCTCCTTTGTGTTTCCTGTTTGATTGAAAGCATTCTGAAG